TGCTTCTAAGGCTTGCTGCCTACTCTTTTGATTTTCCACTTACTTTAAGCTGCAAGATGATTTCAAAGGTGTTGAATAACCCACACCTTCCCCAAATAGTGTGCATCTTTTAGTTCTCAGGCTATTTTCTGGTCTGTTCCTCCTTGCTGACATTCTGTCATGAACATGCAACATCCTTTCTGGAGCTGTGACAGAGCTTAGAAACAACATTTGCTTGTGAATGACAGGCACTGTTGCTTTGTGGTACACATGAAGCATGTTAGCAATTTACTGTACGTACTTACTCTGTACTTGCGCTGCCACCCAAGATGAAACACATTCTATTCTTGCACCGTTCCTTTACAATAGCTGAAGAGAATCTGTTTCGCGTTGTTTCAGCCTCTCTCAGAACAGCAGAGCACACTCAGAACCTGCTGTACTTCTAAGCTTGCAGAACTTCCTATGCCTCTTTCACAAAGCTTATGAATTTGCAAACAATTGGAATATTGCTCTTGTATTTGCCTTGTCTAGAAATCTAGGAATACTGCAGCTAGAGCTAAACCAGTGCACCTTCTCTCCACCACAACCTTTAACCAAGTTTCTAACCGGTTAGTGACATGATTAGTTCTAAACAGGATGATTAATATTTAGCTAACTAGAAGACAGCTAACAGTGTTTTACTCCTGCCAGAGGCTTAGGCCAGCACATGATTATGTTCTTATAACTGGCTTGGCACAAATGTGTGTGTGTTGGTTTAGGGTTTTTGTTGGGTTTCTTTTTTGTTTCTTAGCCCCTTAACCATGTCTAATAACCAGTACAACTGGTCTGTCTTCTTCCTTTCTTAGAGCATGCTTGGATATTCCTAACTACAGTGCTCCATAAGCAGCTAGTGCCAACACATGCACACCCTTGGAGCAGTTCTCCACTTCCACAGACTTCTGGGGGAACATTTGACCAAAGCTTCCCAAAATGCACTGACAATGAGAGAGTTCCAGGTGCATAGACAGGATTAGTAGTGTTGTATTGCAGAAGAAAAAATAAAACCAAACCAAAACCTGTTTTAGGAATATGACTCAAATTTAGTTCTTGAAACATGAGTTTCTGAGGAGCTCGTTAGAACATAGTTATAGCTTCAGTATTTATAGGCAAAGCTCATAGGTGCTTAACACCACCACTCTGAGGTGTTGCCTCAACTTCCACCACCTGTTATTGTATTGATTATGAAACAGAAAGAAAGAGTGGGAAGGCAGCCTGGGATGAACTATTTGACTCAGTTTAGGGCACGTTTTGGATTTGGGAAAATACGCAGCGTGTTC